CAGGATGCTCTCTATGGTGCACGAGTAAAAGTTCCTGAGCACCTTGGAGGAGCCATTTATTCTTCTTCACACAAAATGACCCTTATTAGTGCAGCCTTCTCAAATCAGAGACATTATCAGATAGCGATGAGAAAATGGTGATTGGAAATCTCTAAAGAACATACAACAGTAAAAAGCAGTGATGTTACAAATGAGGCAAAAGATTAATGCTGCAGAAAATTGTTGCTTTTAGAATTGATCAAACATAGTGGTAAAAAGACATCTTAATTCCAGTTAATTATTTTATAGTTGAGTTTACTCTCAGTGCTACTGTTTGTTTCGAACATGTGGCTCTGAAACTTCATTGCGTGTCTCATATTTTAAATATAGTTAGTTTCCTGGTAACACATTGGCATTAAAAAAAAGATTGTACAATAGGACGGACAGAAGACAAAAGAATGTCTCTATTTTCTCCTCAAACAGCTGACAGTATTATTTCATATGTTCTTTAAAAACAATTCAGATGTATTCAAGTTGCTCTTTTGTTGAACTGCAGTCAACTGTCAGTTGGGCCACAACTTATTACAAAAATTCGATCAACTCCTCACATCTGACACAGAGGAGGTCTTAGGAACCAAAAAGCGTCAGGCTGTGGGGCTGTTGCCAGTTTGCCTTGATGGTGGTGAATATGAGTGCTCATATTTCTCTTTAAGGAATATATTCTAATATTGTAATGTGCACACTCAAACCTGGAGACTGTAATTAGTGCAAAAACCACTTCGTTTTTTCTCGCGAACGGAAATGCAAATGAATGGTGCTTTATGAGCTGAGCGAAGTTGTGAAAGGGGAGTAAGCTGAAGAACTCTGCTCAGCTTAAATACCTGGAAGGCACTCGCACCCTTTTTGGACAAGTAAACACTCACTGGAGATGTTTTAATTTCTAATGGGAGAAATGTCCCCTGGGGAGTTTGCATATAATTATGAATTATCATTGTAAAACATACAGCCCCTTCTTTGTGGGGCTGTATGTATCCAATATCCAATTTACTTGGATATTGGATACTGGATATTCCACTGAGTGGCATTCAGAGAATAGCATTGAACCAACAATCTGAAATTGTACTGTTCCTGACATCAAAATAAAAAAGCCAGCAGTTTTTAAGGTGTTCAGATAAAAGGCAGGAAGATATTATACTTTTGTACAGTATGAATAGGGAGGTGGTGATAATAATTCATGACTGTGAGTTCATTTTATAAATTTTCTTCTAGTATAACTCATAAACAAGAATTTGTAAATAAGTAAGCCCTGATCATGAACACTGAACATGCAATTAACATGTAGAGAATAATGAAACAGTCAGAGATGAAACATGGACTGTCTTAATTAAAGGATATGTCAAGAAATCATCCTTCTGATGATCAAAGCTGCAATGCCTAGATAAGAAATACATATTTTTGCGGGCTTTCGAACTAAATAAAGAAAAAAAAATCATAAAATTAACATAAAATGTCAAATAAATAATC